AAAAAAAGAAAAAAATTAAGTAGAAAAACAAAAAGAGTTTGACTATTCCAGGAAGACCCTTAAGGCTACTAAGTCTACTAAATTGGGAAAGAGTAGCACAAGAAGTTGAAGAGCACGATCAGCAGTTTTTTACTCTATGTTTAATAAGAAGACACTGATGGATTTTAAGCAAGCAATTAACACAACATGTGTGGGGCTACTACAACAATCCAGGTGTGAAAGCAATGAAGGTAGAGAAAAGAGGACACACCAGAGATACATTTCAGTCCATATCTAGAAATAGACTAGATTTTGCTGATGGATTATAAAGGAGGGGAGGCAACTGAAACCTGTGAATGATAGTGTTATTTCCAAGAATAGAAGGGTGGGAAATAGAGGAGTTCAATCTAGACATGTCCAGTTTGAATTACCTACAGAAAACCTAGGCCACAGAGATCTGAAAGTCATCAGAATATAGTCAATGATGCCACAGGAGTGGATCTGATCGCCCAGGTGAGTGTAGAGTAAGGGCAAAGAACTGCAATATATATATAGCTCAGGCAGGGAAAAAAAAGGCTTAGAAGAATTAGAGAAACAGGAAATTTAGGGAAATTAAGATTTTGTTTTAGGAAAGGGAGTGTTTCAAGGAGGGAGTGGCTGACAGGGCTAGTCTTGATAAAGAGGAGTTAGTGATCTTAATGAAGAGCAGTTTCGATGTGGCAGCAGTTAGCTAGTTTGCAGTGGGCCAAAGAGCAAATGAGGGGAAGGGCTTAGAGAGAGTCAACACACTGAGTGAGGACCAGCTGAGCCTCAAGGGGAAGGGGACTGTGGCGGGAGGGGCAGGGTATCACCCATGGTTCAGAGGGGTCATGGGTGCAAGGGTCACTGTTCTCCAAGTGCCAGGGGTAGGCAGGGGGTGGCATGGAGCACCTCCGCCAACACTATGCTCTGGTAGAGAAAGCACTGACCTGTGCACTCCACAAGTTCCACTCTTCTCAAGTATCTTCTGCACCTCTCCGCCATTAGGACTAGCCCCCTCCCATCTGGGAGCCCGGTTTTCTTTCTGTCCTTTAGTCTTTCCTGGCACCCAACCATCTGCCAGCCAGGGGTGCCCCTTCCTCTCCTATCCTCCTACCTTTGTAGCCAGCCAGGCTGGCTCTGTAAGGTACTGGGTTGGTACACAGTGGGTTTTTCTCTTGCAATTTAAATAGGCTCAGTATTACTGGTTCTATTTAATGGACATGAGATATGGTAGAAGTTTTTAAGTGATTGAATTCGCAGACTATGCAAATCAGGAAAAAAATGACGAAAGGGAGAGATGGGACAGTGGAAAGACAAAGGAGGTCCTCATCACTGCATATGACTGGACAAAGAGATTCCACAAACTTAAAATCACAAGAGGAGTATCATCTCAGCAAAGTGCCCCCTTTCAATAATAAACCTCAAGTACTTATCATTCTGTTTTAGGACACTGACAGAGATGTATGTGTCTAAATTTTAAAAGTTTGACAAAGGGATGCCTGGATGGCTCAGCAGTTGAGCGTCTGCCTTCAGCTCAGGTCCTGATCCTGGCTTCCAGGATCGAGTCCCACATTGGGCTCCTTGTGGGGAGTCTGCTTCTCCCTCTGCCTAGGTCTCTGTCTCTCTCATGAATAAATAAATAAAACTTTAAAAATACATAAATAAATGTTTGCCAATAAATATTTACTCATAATTCCATATTGGAGAGGGCAGGTTTGCACGTTAACACCCTATTCACAGTTTATTTTTTTTTAAGAGAGAGAGAGAGGCAGGCAGGCGGAGAAGCAGACTTCATGCAGGGACCCCGATGTGGGACTCGATCCCAGGACCCTGGGATCATGACTTGAGCCAATGGCAGGCGCTAAACTGCTGAGCCACCCAGGGATCCCCCCTATTCAGTTTATAAAGAAAAATTAGTAGTAGAATAAAAAACTAGCCTACTCAGATCATGGGCTAACTATATAAAAACAACTTAGTAAGATTTTTCTATTTACATTACCTAAGATGTTCTATTAAAGTTTTAGGTATAACTGAAATTTCAAAGTAGAACCTTGTAATTAAAAAGAGAGAAAATATTTAGATAGGGCACCTTTCTCTTCTTTCAGCAGGACCCTCTCCAAACAGTGTGATGGGCTCCCCCAAGGCTCTAAGGCAAGCCTTGACCTCTGAGTCATCAGTGGAAACATTGATTTGCCGGGCTCGCTTTCTTCTCTCAAACTCAGCTAACACTTCAGCCTGTCGTTCACTGATGTGCTCTTCAATTTCAAACACCTCTCCTATAAAAAGAACAGGTAATATCAGCATAATCACTAGATCTTCAAACAGAGGGGAAAATAATTTCTTACAATTGCAGTCTGTGTATCCTCTAGGAACTAATTTATTACATACTTTATTCTCAGTTTATTAAATTTTGCTAAACACAAAAAACTAAATGATAGCTCATTTAAAATTACTTAAGTCATTTTTTTTTTTAAATCTTTTATTTATTTACGAGAGAGCGAGAGAGACAGTGCAGGAGTGCAGGGAGGAACAGAGGGAGAAGGAGAAGCAGACTCCATGTAGAGCAGGGAGCCCAACACAGGGCTCAGAACCTACAACCTTGAGATCACGACATGAGCCAAAACCAAGAGTTGGACGCTTAACCAACTGAGCCATGCAGGCTTACCTCACATCATCTTGTTTTGACAACCTTACATCTACATACACACATAACTTAGAAGAGATCAGAAAGTAGAAGTACAAAGCACTTTCAGCAAATGAGTTAACTAGATCTTCTATCCAGAAGATAAAATAGATACAGTACTTTAACACCTGCCAAAACCTATTCTCTAAACCAGTCCCAGCTGAGGATATCTATGACTTTAACTAGTAAACTGGAGAAAATTACCATTAAAGGGCTTTCCCTTGACTATAGACTTTTTGGATAACCTAGCAGTTAGTTTTAAAACCAACACTGGGGCATCTGGGTGACTTAGTCGGTTAAGCATCTGCCTTTCGCTCAGATCATGATCCCAAAGTCCTGGGATCAAGTCTCAAGTGAGGCTTCCTGCTCAGTGGGGTATCTGCTTCTCTGCCCCTCCAAGGCTCATGCTCTAATAAATAAATAATAAAATAAATAAAACGCACACTGACTATGAGGATTTTTTTTTTTTTAAGTGTGGGTGTGGAGCTCAACTCTGGGCTTGAACTCACAACCTTGGGTGGTTCAGTGGTTGAGCATCTGCCTTCGGCTCAGGACATGATCCTGGAGTCCCAGGATCGAGTCCTGCGTCGGGCTCCCTGCATGGAGCCTGCTTCTCCCTCTGCCTGTGTCTCTGCCTCTCTCTCTCTCTCATAAAAAAATAAATAAAATCTTTAAAAAAATAAAAAAAAATAAATAAAATCTTTATGGGATCCCTGGGTGGCTCAGTGGTTTAGAGCCTGCCTTTGGACCAGGGCAGGATCCTGGGGTCGGGTCCCATGTCGGGCTCCCTGCATGGAGCCTGCTTCTGACTCTGCCTATGTTTCTGCCTCTCTCTCTCTCATGAATAAATAAATAAAATCTTAAAAAAAAGAAAAAGAAAAAGGCTCTCTAGATGATGCTAACCAGGGCAGGCAAAGGATGGCCTTACATAGATCCAAGTTTAACTAACATTTTTGATATTATAATACAAAGATAAAGAGGGACTCACAATTTGCATCTTACCAGAGGTTATGTTAATATTTCCTGCTTCAATTCCAGCTTTAAGTCCTTCTTTTCCCAAAATCCCAGACTCTCCTTTGGCCAGACGCTCCCTCTCCTTCTCTTCCAAACTTCCGTAATAGATGTGTGGTTTCTTCACAACAGGAGCAACTAAGTCATCAGGTGCCTTAGTTTTGGTTGCCTGATAAATCAAAGACACGGATTAACCTAAGGTCTAATACTAGCCACTTATTAGGCTTCCCCCAAAGGATGGAGCTCATCCTGAGCTTCAATCCTATTTTCCCCCCCCCCCGCATGAAAAGGACAAGTCGGACACCAGTTCAGGTTATCTTCACTGATTGGGGGGCGGGGTGTCTCTCCCAGCTACTTAGGTTCTGCAGACGGGAAGAGGCTAATAAAACTAGTCCATCATTATTCTTGGTAACTTTTCTATCAAAGATTTGCTTTGGAACATGTTTGCATCATTCCGTGGCAACCTCTTCTTGGGTTTTATGAAACTTCCAAGGTTACCCCTCATCACAGGGGCAGTATCAAGGAGAACAACCAACCTAGTATTAAGGGGGAGCAAGTCAGTTACTTGTCGGTACATTTCAAACGTTTTCAGACCTAAGGCAACACATGTGAAGTTAGGAGGCCAAACTGCAATGAAGAAGTCTGACACAGACGTGAATCTGGGCCTTCTAGAGCTCAGGTTTTGGAGCAGTCGGAAGAGGTATTTACCGTTCGGGCCTGTAGTGAGGGGTGCAAATGAATTAAAACTCGGGAACGGGGGGATCCCTGGGTGGCTCAGCCGTTTAGCGCCTGCCTTTGGCCCAGGGCGTGATCCTGGAGTCCAGGGATCGAGTCCCGCGTCAGACTCCCTGCCTTGACCCTGCTTCTCCTCCCTCTGCCTGTGCCTCTGCCCCTCTCTGTCTCTCATGAATGAATGAATAAAATATTTTAAAAAAATAAATAAAACACGGGAACGTACTTAGGGATCTAGAAAACGCTGCTCCTCTAAGGACCGTGTCTCTCAGCCTTTCACCTTCGACCTCCACCGCCTTAGCCCGTTCCCCGAGGGACCCCATTTCGCAGGAACCGCCCCCCCAGCCCCTTCCGCGCTCCCCGCCAGAGTGAGTGGAGTTCCGTACCGTGGAGGAGGCGGCTCGTGAGGAAGCCATGCTGAGCTCCGCGGCCGCGAAACCCCGGCGAAAGCCGAGCTCGGCGTTTTCAGACCGTCCACCGCGCGCCCGGCAAAGCGGAACTGCGTCACCGGCCGGAAGTGGGCCGACGCAGCGTCGTGGGGGGCGCGGGGCATGACGGGAACCGTAGTAAGGAAGCGTCGTGGCGCCAAGAGTTGCGTGAACCTAAGGAGAAAAGCACGCGGCGGACGAGACTCTGCAGAGCAGTCTGGGAAGTGTAGTCCCGCTCGCTCCGCTGAAGATTCGCGGTGGGCGCCGCCGAGGCTCCGGGAGGAGGCCGAGCAGGCTTGGAAAGAGGTAGGTGCGTCGGGCCGCGCGGAGCAAATGGAGGGCTTCCGAGGCCTGCCGTGGCCCCCGGCCCCGGAGGAGCGGAGGGCCAGGTTGCCATGGAAACCCTCGCTCTGGGCCCGCGGGTGCCACTCTGCAGCTGCAGAGGGGGTGCTGGTCGCCCTCCCCGCTGTCGGGAAGTTGTCCCAGGGCCCTCCTTGGAGCGGGCTGAATGCGCAGTGGATTCGGGCGGCGGCCACCAGCTGCCGAAGTAGAAGGAAGGCCCGGGGGAGGAGCCACGGCCTGCTTTTATTGCTGGTCTTCAGCCGAGTGTTTGTACCCGGGTCGGAGTGAGACGACGCCTGTCAAGTGCACACGGGCACGTCTGCACGGCCTGGGTACCGCGGGGGGGGGGGGGGGGGGGCTGCGGCATCCGACAGGAGCAAGGCCAGGGCTTTGCCCCCTGTCGGGGGTGGAGATGCTTGAAGTTTGGGTGATTCTCGAGCCGGACGGAGCCCCCCCCCCTCCTCTCCAAGGACAATTAGGATAATAATAATAATAATAATAATAATAATAATAATAATAGCGGGTGTTTATTGGGCGTTTACTAAATGCCAAGTTATGTTCCAGGCACTTACACTGCCTTACCTCACTCAGTCTGTACAACAGAGGGCAGAACATGAGGAAACCAGCGTCCACTGTGAAGATGAAGCTCGTTGTCCCAGAGGGTTGGCGTGTGGGATTAGAGCCCCTGCCCTCTGCCCTTGGGCCTCCTGAGCGAGCAGCTTTGCCCATCGCTCGGTACTGCCTCCTAGTGGCGAGCTTTACAAAGTTTGCAGAAAAGCGAAGAACCTGTACGGCAGGGTTTTGGGTTTTTTTGATTATTTTTTCCTCCCCTACTCTCCCTTGGAACTTCGGCTTCATCTACCATTTATTTACATTGGACTTAAGAGAGTATCTGATTTATTTCTTTGATTTTACCTTTAAAAAAAAAAGGGAAAAAAAAGGAAGATTTTATTTTTAAGTGATTCTACACCCAATATGGGGCTCAAACTTACAGCCCCCACATCAAGAGCCCCATCCATGCTCCACCAACTGAGCCAGTCAGGTGCCCCAAGATATTATCTGATTCAGTGTGCTAGTATTTTGTGGTGAGAATATGGCCTGTTCTGTTCCAAGCTTCACAAAGGATACATTTTTTTCTTTCTATGCTTCCAGTCTGTAGCTACATCCAAGATGTAATAATAATTTATACCTGTACATACTTTTTTAATTAAGATTTTATTTATTTATTCATGAAGGATAAATAGAGAGGCAGAGACACAGGCAGAGGGAGACGCAGGCTCCACGCAGGGAGCCCGATGTGGGACTCGATCCTTGGACTCCAGGATCACACCCTGAGCCACGCGGGCATCCCTAATTTTTTTTTTTTTTCAATAAGGAGGCTCCACACCCAATATGGGACTTGACCTCATGACCCTGAGATACTACTGACCAAGCCAGCCTGGCACCCCTATAGCTGCATGTACTTTATTTATTTATTTATTTTTAAAAAAAGATTTATTTATTCATGATAAATATTCAAACACAGAGAGAGAGGCAGAGACACAGGCAGAACGAGAAGCAGGCTCCATGCAGGAAGCCCGACGTGGGACTCGACCCCTGGTCTCCAGGCTCACACCCTGGGCCGAAGGCGGCGCTAAACTGCTGAGCCACCAAGGCTGCCCTGCATGTACTTTAAAGGAGCTTTCTTTGACATCATTCTCATCTAATCCTCACCTCTGTGACCTATGTATAATTTTTATGGCAGGCTGACATCTATTAACCAAACTAAAAAGCTTCAACTTCATTTATAAAATAGAGGTAATTTTGCCAGCATTCACAGGGTTTCTGTGTTCAAGTAAAAAATGTAAAGAATGGGAATGGAAAAGTGTAGCACAGTGTTCCAAGTGCTTACTTTAAATTGTACATTTTAGGGACACCTGGGTGGCTTAGCAGTTGAGCATCTGCCTTCAGCTCAGGCCATGATCCCAGGGTTTGGGATTGAGTCCCTCATCAGGCTCCTTGTGGGGAGCCTGCTTCTTCCTCTGCCTATGTCTCTGTTTCTCTCTCTGTGCCTCTCATGAATAAATAAATAAAATCTTAAAAAAATATTGTGCACTTTATTTTTTAAGATTTTATTTATCTTTGAGAGAGAGAGCGTGGGCACGAGCATGAGCAGAGGAGAGGGGCAGAGGGCAAAGCAGCCTCTCTACTGAGCCAGGAGCCAGATGTGGGACTTGATCCCAGGACTCCTGGATCAGGACCTGAGCCAAAGGCAGACCCTTAACCAACTGAGCCAGCCAAGCGCCCCTCAAGTGCTCACTTTATTTGGGTTTCTCAGTTTATTCAACTATACATGTACTGACTGATTATTACAGATACACTCTGCTTGATGCTGTGGAGAATATAAAGATGATGCCTTTAACAGGTTTTAAATTGACTTGGGGAGTTTCGTTTTCCCTAAAAATTTTTTTTGTCAGCATAAGCATTACCTTGAGCTTTCAGACTCAGGAATGTTCTCTTGAGCCTCTTTGTGTCTTGTTCCCTCTCTCTTACTCCCCTTTCTCTGCCTGCCCTCATAAGTCAGCTAAGAGATTTCCTCCAGGAAGCCTTCCTTGTCCCTGTCTACCCTGCACTCCACCCAGACTGGATTGGGTGCCTGTGTGATGCCATTGCATTATCTTCCATCAGAGTTCTTACTAGAATATGTTGCAATTTTCTGTTTATGTGTTTGTTTTCCCCACAGGCTGACTATGATTTTTAACTCTGGAGCTGAAGCACAAAAAGTGTTTGTTTAATGAATGACCTATCCATTTAGAACCTGTTTAGACCCTGAGGATAACCCTGCGAATTGGTGAGTTATAGGGAGTTTGCATGAGATTTAATAAGCTGATTTTAGTATTCAGGAGTGATCAAAAACTTCTCACAGTTCTCATGCAGAGCTGATCAAATTTAATGGCTTATATACTTTTCCAGTAATTATACAGACTTAAGATGTGATATTTTAACTTTATTCTCTGAGCCAGAATATTTCACTGAATGTGACTGGAGTATCAAAGTGATTGTTGCCTAGAATTCTCTTTTATAGGTAGCTTGCTCTTCTTTTTCTTGAAGACTGTTTTTTTTTGTTTTTTTTTTTTTGGAATTGCAGAGTTACGGATCTCCATAACTCTCCATGATCATGTAATAATCATCCATCTAATGACTTCGAAATCTATGTGTGAACCCAAATGAGTCTTTTTTATGATCATTCATTTAGCATGGATGGTGACAAATTGATCTTGTATTTATAGCCGAGATTTATCCCCTCCAGGTTTTTCTCCTGTGCTGTTTCTAACAGCTGATAGTTCACTGGGTCTGGCCTGTAGTGTTGATCACAGTATGCTGCGGCGAAAACCAACCCGCCTAGAACTAAAGCTTGATGACATTGAGGAGTTTGAGAGCATTCGAAAGGATCTGGAGGTAAGAGTACAACTTTTAAAACCTTAGGGATATTTAAAACAGTAACTTTAACTTTTGAACTCCAGACTCTTAAACCAACAGTTTATTTGAAACCTCTGTTTGGATGCTTGACAGGCATCTCAAACTTAATGTGTCAGTTTCCTGTGGCTTGCTGTAATAAATTACCACAAATTTGGTGGTTTAAAATAACAGAAATCTATTCCTTTACCATTCTGTAGGCCAGAAATCTGAAATCAGTATCACTGGTCTCAAATCAAGCCATCTCAACCATATTCCCTCCAGAGGCTCTAGAGGAGAATCCATCCTTGACTCTTTCAGCTTCTGGTGGCCACTGGGATTCCTTAATTTATGGCCGCATGGCTCCAATCTCTGTATCTGTGATCACATTGCTTTCTCCTGCTGTGCTATGAAATCTCCCTTTGCCTTCTCTTAGGCATATGATGGCGTTTAGGGCCCACCCAGGTATTCCAGGATAATGTCTCCATCTCCGGATCCTTACCACATCTGCAAAAACCCTTTTCCATATAAGGCAACATTTACAGGTTGAGGGATTAAGACCTGGGAGCTTTGGGAGTCACTCTTCAGCCTCCTGCACTTATATTGTTAAAACAAACAAAAAAACCCGCTTGATTTTTTCCTCAAGCCGGTTTCAGCTCAGTGTTCCCTATGTCAGTATCTCTGTAGATGCATGAGCCAGAAACCTAGGAGTCACTCTTGATTTCTCCCTTTTCTCATCCTTTGGATTTACCCCGTGCATCTCCACGATGACTACCCTGGTCCACGTAATGGTCACTTCTTTCTCCAATCTCAGTTTTGTCCTTAGTGGTTTCCTACTTTCATTTTTGTCTTGTTAATCCGTTCTCCATCAGGTTTTTAGACCGATCTTTAAAATGTTCAGATCATGTCATTCCCCAGCTTAAAATTCGTTTCCTGTACTTGGAATACAATCTCAATTCCTTATGGCTGACAAAATTTTGTATGTTTTGGCTTCTCAGGTTTCAGTTCCTGCCATTCTTTGCCTTGGGCTCTGTACCCTGGGCACACTGGGTTTTTCATTTTCTTGAACATGGCGAGTTGTTTATCACTCATGGCCTTTGCACATGTTATTTTCCTCTCTTCTTGTATTCATGTTTGTTTAAATGTTACTTCTTGGGGATCCCTGGGTGGCTCAGCAGTTTAGTGCCTGCCTTCAGGCTAGGGTGTGATCCTGGAGTCCCAGGATCGAGTCCCATGTTGGGCTCCTTGCATGGAGCTTGCTTCTCCCTCTGCCAGTGTCTCTGCCTCTCTCTCTCTCTGTATGTCTCTCATTGATAAATAAATAAAATCTTAAAAAAAATTAATGTCACTTTTTCAGTCTAAGAGGCTGCTTCTGACCCTATCCACATGAGGGGTGTCATTCCCATTCATGCTGTCACCATCTCTTTAGGGTCTCTCAAAGCACTTTCTTCTTTTTTTAAAAGTAATGTCTTTGCCCACTCTCTTTGAGTGGGGCTCAAATTCACAACCCCAAGGTCAAGAGTTGTATGCTCTACCGACTGAGCTACCCAGGTACCCCAAAGCACTTATCCTTTGATTTTACAGCATTTATTATAACTTACAATAATTTGTTTAAGAGCACAAGATCCTTTTTTTTTTTAAAGATTTATTTTTATTTATTTATGATAGACAGAGAGAGAGAGAGAGAGAGAGAGAGAGAGGCAGAGACACAGGCAGAGGGAGAAGCAGGCTCCATGCCGGGAGCCCGACGCTGGACTCGATCCTGGGACTCCAGGATCCGCCCTGGGCCAAAGGCAGGCACGAAACCGCTGCGCCACCCAGGGATCCCCTTACATTAAGATCCTTGATTGTAGAAAACATGTCTGTCTGCTTCACCGTTGAGTTCCCAGCATCTGGTATCATGGTACGAGCTCATATGTACTTTTTAAAAAAGACTTATTTATGGATTAGAGAGTGCATTTATGCACAAGTAGGGGGCAGGGCAGAGGGTGAGGGAGAAGCAGACCTCCCAGTGAGTGTGGAGCCCGATGTAGGGCCCAATTCCAGGACCCTGGGATCATGACCTGAGCTGAAGGCAGATGTTTAACTGACTAGCCACCCAGGTGCCCCATCAATATGTATTTTTAAGTGTAGCTTACCACACAGTATTAAATCATGTCCCCTAATAAAACTTAAATTCTTCAGTGGCCCTGAGAATAAAGTCCAGATTCCTTAGGAAGGCATACAAGATCCATTGTGACTCATTTCTCCACTTTATCTTCCACCGTCAAGTTATCTTTAACTTTAATCTTAGTGCCTCTGCATACTTGGTTCCCTTCTCCTGAAATGTCCTTTCAGTATGGTTTAAACTTCAGCTGTAATGAGTCTCATAAAATGTTGGCATACTGAACTTTGACTCTGCAGAATCAGCTCACTATTGAGTTAGTCTTTCTACTGAAGGCAGTTATCCAGTGGGTTTGACCTGCTGCAGAGCAACTTAGGGAGGGACAGTTTTGCCCTAAACTAAAATAAAATGAAACCAGTAGAAACTGGCATTTCATTTGTTACTGAAATTAGTTTAATTATATTTTGATGACTGGATTCTGAAACAGTCAGCAGTTATTCATGGTGGGAAGCCTTTTAAATTATTTCATTCCATTTGGACATTCTCAGTTTCTCATGGCTTTTAAAATGATAATATCCTTTGCCTTTTAACCTGTTTTCACTAAGCTGTTGTAATGTTACTTATTGGTAGTGTAGAGTAACTAGAGAGTAACTCAGGTCATTTTACATACATAGACACACACATATATATAAAGTAATGCCTTATTTGGTTCAGTATGATACTGTGACAGTGGCATTCCAATGCCGAGTTCATTAGTAAGTGGTGAAGAATGGTGGCGTTTCCAGTGGTTAGAGTAGTCGAGCCATCCTTCTAAGGAATGCTAGATAAAACATTTGTTCACTCTCTCAGAGAACATTATTATTTAATAACTTTATAGTCAGATAGTTGTAGTTATGGGATAAGTGTTAATACCTCTTTTTGAAAATGATTAAACTGAGGGGCACCTGGCTGGCTCAGTTGGTGGATTGTGTGACTCTTGATCTCGGAGTTCTGAGTTCAAGCCCCACGTTGGATGAGGACATTATTTAAAAATAAAATCTTGAAAAAAAGGAGAGGGCGGCCCCAGTGGCTCAGTGGTTTAGTGCCGCCTTCAGCCCAGGGCCTGATCCTGGAGACCTGGGATCGAGTCCCACGTCGAGCTCCCTGCATGGGGCCTGCTTCTCCCTCTGCCTGTGTCTCTGCCTCTCTCTCTCTCTCTCTCTCTGTGTGTCTCATTAATAAATGAATAAAATCTTAAAAAAAAACTCAAGAAATCTTAAAAAAAAAGAGAATGATCAAACTGAGATATTGACTTGGTGAATTCTGCAATCACTTGTAATTTAAGAGCCAAACCTTTTTAAAAAAAGATTTAATTAATTTCTTTATTTGAGAGAATGCTTGAGCAGAGGGAGGAGCAGAGAAAGAATCTCAAGCAGACTGCTGAGCATAGAGCCCCACATAGGGCTGGATCTCACAACCCTGAGATCATGACCTGAGCCAAAACAAAGAGTCAAATGCTTAACGGACTCAGCCACCCAGGTGCCCCAAGAGCCAAACCTTTTATTTATTTTTTATTTTTTTTAAAAGATTTATTTATTTATTTTAGAGAGAATACACGCATGAGTGTGAGAGTGCAGGGAGGAGCAGAGGGAGAGAGAGAGCTCAGACTCCCTGCTGAGCGTGGAGCCTGACACAGGACTTGATCCCACGACTCTGAGATCATGACCTGAACTGAAATCAAGAGGTGGATGTTCAACCAACTGAGCCATCCAGGCACCCCAAGAGCCAAACCTGAAAACAAAACCTCAAAACTCAGGCCTTTTGATAAGATAGTATAAAACCTTGTATTCCTGTTTTTACATTTAATCTCATAGTGTAAATGAGAAACACCCTTCTTGGGGTGCCTGGCTGGTGCAATTGGTAGAGCTTGTAACTTTTGATCTTGAGGTTGTAGGTTTAAGCACCGTGTTGGGTGTAGAGATTACTGAAAAATAAATCTTAAATAAAGAAAAAAAAAAAGAAATGCTTTTCTCTCCCCTTTGTCTGCCAACTTACTTTTTTTTAGTTTTGTTGAGAAATAACTGACATACACTAAGTTAAGGCACGATGCACGATGCCTTAAACTTACATCCCTCTGCGCGATGGTGTGATTTACATTTATTGTGAACTGATGGCCGCAGTAGGTTCAGGTAACATTCATCTTCTCATATATTATTTATCTTTCTAATCACAGCTTCCTGCTCTGAAGCTTTGCCACGACATACCCAACTCCTCACGTCTTCTTTCGTTTTTTTTTTTTTTTCTTCTTTCGGTTTCTTTGGCAGTGTGGACTTTCCTTTTTTTTTTTAAAGTTTTTTTTTTTAATTTTTTAAATTTATTTATGATAGTCACAGAGAGAGAGAGAGAGAGAGAGAGAGAGAGCGACGTGGATTTGATCCCGGGTCTCCAGGATCGCGCCCTGGGCCAAAGGCAGGCACCAAACCGCTGCGGCACCCAGGGATCCCCAGTGTGGACTTTCCTGTGTCATAGCTATGGTCACTCTGTGTTGCCATTGTCTATTTTCCTATTTCCCTGTTAGGCTGTGACATCTGGAAGGGTAGGGGTTTTCTCTTTTCTCACTGTGTCCTTGTATCCCCCTTGTACTGCTATTATCCATTTCAACCTAGGATTTTATTTTAATTTAGGATTTCAGCTTACTGTTCTGAAGGCCCTAATCCCAGCTTTTACCCTATGCCTAGTGCATGGTAGGTGCCAAATAATTGTCTGCTAATGGAAAGAACATTGCCTTAATCCTAAGACTTTTATACTTTCAGACCCGTAAGAAGCAAAAGGAAGAAGTGGACGTCGTAGGAATCAGTGATGGAGAAGGTGCCATTGGGCTCAGCAGTGACCCCAAGAGCCGGGAACAAATGATTAATGATCGAATTGGTTATAAACCCCAACCCAAGCCCAATAATCGTTCATCTCAATTTGGAAGTTTTGAATTTTAGAGGCAGATTATCTTGCATGCCAGAACCCTGGGATGGAGTAAAATGATGGCAGAAGTACAAACAAGATTTAGAGAATTGAGTGCTTGCAGTGAAGCAGAATGTTTTACCTCCTGCAGAGAAATATTTCTGCATGAGATTACTGATGCTTAACTTTTGCTCTAAGTGGAAATCCCCTCTCATTTGTCTCTGGAAAATTTGTATAAAACTTGTCTGATTTTTGTTTTTAAAAATAAATATATTTTTGGAAAAGTGTGTGACACCCTTAATAAATTATAATAATAGCACTGTTGACCCCCAGATTTTAAAAGGTAATTGCTACAAGAAGTAACATCATTCTTCTAAACCTTTATTGAGAGACTTGAAGCATAGAACACTTCCAGTTGATCCCTGTCACTGACTTTCATTCAGCTCAACTATTCAGCAAGTATTAGTTGAGTGCCTGTAATGTGGCAGGTACTATTCTAGGTGGTTAGTAACATCAGTGAACAAAATCAAAGATCCCTGCCTTTGTGGAGATTAGATTCTAGTGATTTTGTGTAAATGTGATCAAGCTATGGGTTTCCAGAATCTATTTACAGGATGGCTTTGTAGCTAGTCTGAGTGTAATTTGGGGGGGACAGAGAGTGGAGGGAAAACAATAATTGGAATGCTCCTAACAGAATTACCATCATTCCAATTTTCCTTCCTTTTCCAACTTGCCCTAAGAATTTTTCGCAGGCAGCCAATCTGAGAGGGTAATTTAGAGTCCTGTCCAGGGCACCTCACTGGCTCAGTCAGAGGAGCATGCGACTCAAGATCTCAGGGTCATGAGTTCAAGCTCCATGTTGGGTGTAGAGATTACTTTTAAAAAAAAGTTGTTTTTTTTTTTTAAGTTTTATTTATTTATGATAGTCACAGAGAGAGAGGCAGAGACACAGGCAGAGGGAGAAGCAGGCTCCATGCACCGGGAGCCCGACGTGGGATTCGATCCCGGGTCTCCAGGATCGCGCCCTGGGCCAAAGGCAGGCGCCAAACCGCTGCGCCACCCAGGGATCGCAAAGTTGTTGTTTTTTAAAGTTTTATTTATTTGAGAGTAGAGTGGGCAAGAACATCCATAGAGGGAGGGAACAGAGGGAGAGGAAGAAGCAGGCTCCCCAATGCGGAGCTCAATCCCAGGACCCCAGTATCATGACCTGAGCTGAAGGCAGATGGTCAACCAACCAAGCCACACGGGCACCCTCAAAAAAAAAAATTATATCCTGTTGTCTTTACCATTTAATTCAACTACAGGGAACTGCCAACTGTGATAGAAAAAAACCCGCAATCATCAGTTCTAAAGATACCTCTTAGCAAGATTTTATCCAATCTTTCTAGGGGTAGTTTAAGGCTGGGTATTAAGAATGTGGGAGAGGGGCACCTGGGTGGCTTTGTCGGTGAAGTGTGACTTCTGCTCAGGTCATGATCTTGGAGTCCTGGGATCCGGCCCTGTGCCTGGGAAGTCTCCCTTTCCTTCTGCTCCTCACCCCGCTTGTGCTCACTCTCTCAAATGGGTAAATAAAATCTTAAAAAAACAAAAAAGTGGGAAAGGCAGGAATAGAAGAGGATACATAGTTTCTCTTTCAACCATTCTTACAAAACCTTTATTCTTCCAGTTTGATCTAGGACCTTCAATTCTGTTCCCTTACAGCCTTAAAGACACAGCAAGAGTCAGGCTCCTGATAGGAAATCAGAGTTACATTACATTGCAGCCTGCAAAGGCCAATATGGAAAGGCAACCACCCCCCAGGAAACAAGCCTCTGCCTTAAGTTCTGTCACTGGTTTCTCAGCACGAATAGGTACAGAAGCATGAAAACATTGTGCCTCCTGAATTTTCCTTGCCCCATGAACAGCCAACACTCGGCTCTGTATGGGAGGCACTGTACTGAGTGCTTTATGCAGGTCATCTCACTTATTATTTTTTTTAAAGATCTTATTTGCAGGCTCCAGGCAGGACCCTGACGTGGGACTCGATCCAGGATCCCTGGGATCACAACCTGGGCCAAAGGTGGTGCTAAACCGCTGAGCCACCCAGGCTGCCCCTCTCACTTAATCTTTAATTCATATGAGGAGAATACTAGATCTTAATTTTACAAAAGGTGAAACTAATGCTCAGCTACTAAGGAGCTGAGATTTGAACCCAAACACTGATTTCTGAACCTTTATTTATTTATTTAAAGATTTTATTTATTTATGAGACACAGAGAGGCAGAGGGAGAAGCAGGCTCCTTGCTTCAACGTGGGACTCGATCCCCAGAACCCGTATCCTGCCCTGAGCCGAAGGCAGATGCTCAACCACTGAGCCACCTGTGTTCCCTGAACCTGTATTTCTAAACTTTATTGCTACACTGCTTTCTTAGTTTCCCTGTGCTGGGTCTGGAGGGTGGGGTTCTTGGGTGGAGTGAGAGGATGATGTTTCAATTCTCAGAATTTTATCTTAAGCTATTTTATTTTATTATAAAGAATGAGACATTTACCAGATTAGACAAGGGCTTACTGCAGCTATAAATCCTATTAGACACAACTGAAATGACATGCATTGGTTCTGTTATTCCTTAGGTCCTAGAGTTCATTTCTAGAAGATGGTAAAGTGCTTGTGCAGAGATGATAAACTCATCCAAAAGAGCTTACCTTTCATATCCTGAGAGCTGGAGTAAAAAATAATCAAAAAGTTACTATGATTTCATTGCCTATTATATGGTAGGTGCTTTATATATATTGCTCCTAAATTGAAAATGGCACTATTCTTGCCTTTTTAAATATTTATTTTCTTATTATTGCCTTGTTATAAGTGAGAACACTATGGACAGGGATTATTAAAATCACTTGGTTAAGGTTACTTATATTTTTTAAAAAATACTTATTTTTAATAATAAATTATTTATTTACTCATGAGAGACAGAGAGGCAGAGACATAGGCAGAGGGAGAACCAAGCTCCCTGTGGGGAGCCCGATGGGGGACTCCATCCCAGGACCCCAGGATCATGACCTGAGCCGAAGGCAGATGCTCAACCACTCAAGCCACCCAGGTTCTCCAGGTTACACTTCTATTAAGTGGTGTGGAGCCAGGATTAAAACCCAGACATGCTGGACTCCAGTCTCTGCTCATCATACTACACGATGGAGGAGCCTAGGAATGGTGCTAGATGTTAAGATCAATGCCCATCTCCAGGGCGGGCAGGGAAGATCCCTAGAGGTCTAAATCGCCCTCTTGCCTGATAGCATAAACACAGAAGGGATTATGATACGACGCATATCAGGAATCTTTGGCATACTGAGATATTTGCAGCTTCATGAAGACCCTGACTCCTGTGTGAAAGGTCATGTAGATCTTGACAGTGCTAACTTGTCATTTTATTTTAATTCATTTTTGGGGGGGGTGCAAAAAGGTGGTCTTATTAAAGTATAGGCACAGGACCCATGGGCAGAAAGAGCTGCCGCTTGTCATTTTATTTTTACATTTTTAAAAGATTTATTTATTTTATTGAAAGAGAGTGAGCAGAAAGAGAGGGGAGGAGGGAGAGGGAGAATCTTCAAGCAGACTCCCAGCTGAGCACGAAGCCCCACATGGGGCTTGATCCACACCCCTTATCAGGACCTGAGCTGAAACTAAAAGTTGGGCGTTTGACAGACTGAACCCACCCAAGGTGCCCCAAGCTTGTCATTTTTAAGTAGAGTGAGATGGAAACATAAAGCGATCTGGCCACTTAAAAGTCTGACATCTTAAAAACTGATGGTAATGCCAATGGAGAGACTACTTATTCTGATATCCCTTTGGATGGTAGAAAGACATGCATAGAATCACAAAATCAAAATATTTATTTTGTTCCTTTACATATGACACTGTTAAAACATTCCTACTACAGCAATACTGCTCTCCAGGAGCTTACAATCTAAAACGGTCAACATTAATTGTAGACTCAGTGATTAAGGCATTATATCAAATGCAGACTTTGTATCTTTAGATTTATCTTCGGAAAGAAGCAGCTGGAGAAAGCAGGATCAAAATTAAATGACATGAACATGGAACCCCTGCCCCCTTCCCTTCCAGCTCCTTAAAAGAAACCCTTTGTGGCTAGAGCCCAAGCCCAGAGCCTCACAGTCTGAAACAGAGTTCCAGACAGCTCTACCATAGAAGTAGTGAAGAAACCTTAATTTCTAATTCCCTGGCAGACACAGAGGGTTCCCTGTTTGTGGGCAACAAGGGGCTGAGTGTTCCTCCAACAGAGACAGCACCTAAGATTCTGTAACTCTGTGGATGGTAATAGTAGGTAGCCCTTTACTCAGCCTTATAATAATTGCAGCAAGACAGTTTCTCCCCAGAGCGTGCATCAGGTCTCTACCAAGTTTTACAACTTCTGGCTGGTATCTATATCCACTGCAATGTCCACTGCATCAGGAGGGTTAGGGGGATTTCATAAAGTACATACATGGGATTAAAGACTGAAAGGGAAAGGAAAGTGGATAAGGGGTCAAAGAAACGAGGATACAGGCTTCTAAGAGGTGTGAACAAGAAAGGAGGACAAGAGAAATTTGGATTCAAAAGAACAAAGAAGTCAGACACTAAATTCCAAATCAGCAGGGATACAGAAATAAAAGTCAATGAGATCATTATATTATCACACTCCAAGAGCTCAAGAAAGATGGAATTTAAGCTTTAAAATTTTTCTCCTTCACTAGCTTCTTCCTTTGGCAACCTAATATAAGAACTGCTGGAATTCAGGTTTTTCATGACACTCTACCTTGAATACCTGAACACCTATCCCAAACTGATGTTTCTCTGTAGAGTTTCAAATTCACAGCACTTTGTCTTAACTGGCCTTGATTATTCTTACCTTACTGAGAAGGTCCTATTTCTGAAAGGGTATTTTATAGCAGCTCATGCCAAGATTTCTAGAGAGCACCAGGGTCACTATTAAACATTGAGTCTTATTTTATTTCTCATGGTTTTATTATTCCTTGGCTTCTGAGATAATAATAGGCTATTTACACCTTCATATTGGACTCTGTCACTACCTGTCATTAACTCCGCTCATGATAAGTATCAGTACTCCAAGGGGTTGGAATGAGAGAAAAGCACAAAACTCTACACGTCGGTTCTTAGATTTAACCCTCGATCCAGTAAGCTCGTAACCTTCTCTTGGTTTAAAGCCACGGAAGTACACATTCCTTGCTCTCCAATATTTAGCTGGCATCCACAGAGAAAGTACAAACTTCAAAACCACAA